AATGAGAGAGGAGCAAACTTGGAGAAAGAGAAGGTGGGGGACAATGAATGGAGAGAAGGGAAACTGTGGTTGAGATGTACTATATGAAAGAAGAATACATACAAATTTAAAAAATTAAAAATAAATAAGAAAATGAAGAAAAAAAGAAAATAAACATTCCTTATCTCAGCTTTAAAATCCTCTTGTTTCCCCACATGTAAATTATAGCTAGTTGTTCCTCTCTCATATTATTGCAAGGTGATTTAGGAAGCTAACTTATATGAACTAGGTGCCACATTAGTGAATGTGCAACTGTTAGCTACTCTATCTTAGAGGGCAGGAATCCAGATATGGCTAAGGGGTGGTACTGGAAGTCTTCAACTGGTGGTAATTATAGGTTTAAGTGTTTCTTTCAACAGGAAATAGAAACCTGAGAGTTTCCAGGGATGTGGAAATCCAGCCCAGCAAACTGTGGGAAATGAGGGGAAGGAAGAGAAAGTTTTCATTGCAAAAGAGAACAAGAGTACAATTTAGGAAAAAAAGAAAAAAGAAACAATGTGTCTTTTCAACCATTCTTGTTTCCATATAGGTCAGCTTAATGGAGGATATGAGGAAAAGCTAACACATAACACAGCCATCTTAGTTATCAGTCCTTGGCATATCCAATCCAGTCCTTAATGCCAAGGTCTTAATTCAGCCACAACAGAATGTACAGATAGATAACCCCAATATGCTACTACTCTCCTGGCCAGGATCAAACTATAACCCACTGAGGCTTATCCTGCTGGCAGGCTCTACAGATCATGAAACTAAATGCTAACTAACAGGGCATCTAGCAGAAGCCAGTGAAAGCCAGGTGATAATTAACTTGTGGTTCACAGATTTATAGCTTTTAGGGGAATCTCTGTCTGTCTGTCTGTCTGTCTCTCTCTCTATCTATCTCTCTGTCTCCTGTCTCTCTCTCTGTCTCCTGTCTCTCTCTCTCCTCCCCCCTCTTACACACACACACACACACACACACACACACACACACACACCACTGGCTTCCATTTGGTTTCATGTTATCACACCATGGTTTATATTAAAGTTATTTTAGGAATTATGCCCTTGCCAGTGCTCACCTGAGAGTCTTGTCCTCAAACATGGCAACTGCTTTCTTTCAATTTTCATGCTCTGACTGGGCCGAAATGCTCACACAATTACTCATGCTGCAAACCTTACTGATTATGGCATTCAGTCTGTTAATTTACCTATGTTGTTCCTTGAAATTTGAGAAGTGGCCTGAATTCAGTATTTGACCTTGTCCATCCTGCACTTCATGGCGTGAGCTCCATGATACTCAGCATGGTTTCCAGGAACTGCACTCCCTACTAAAACCTTGTTTGAGGAGACTTGTGGTTTGAAACAACTTGCTTACTTGCATCAGAAATATTTCACAGAACTGGCAGTTAGCAACAACCCAAAGTAGACAACACCAGGGCAAGCATCTTTGTGCTAGCTAGTTTTATGTCAACTTGATACAAGCTTGAGTCACAGAAGATGACAGAGCCTCAGTTGAGAAAATTCCTCCTAAAATTGTACTGTAAGCAAACTTGTAAAGCATTTTCTTAATTAGTGATTGATGTGGAGGGCCTAGCCCATGATTGGTTGGGGTATGCCTGGGTTTGTGGTCTAGTGTTCTATAAGAAACCAGGCTGGATAAGCAATGAGGAACAAGCAAGTGAGCAGCAGTCCTCCATGGCCTCTGCATCAGCTCATGCCTCCAGTTTCTGGCCATGTTTGAATTCCTGCGCTTAATTAATTACTTCAATGATGAACAGGGATGTGGAAGTGTATGTCAAATAAATAATTTATTCCCCAATTTGCTTTGATCATAACGTTTTCTCAGAGCAATAATAACCCTGACTAAGACCCTGAACTCTGTTAGCTTCCTTATTAATGTGATTCTCTTAATGGCAAGCCCAGAAGTTTTTCTTTGACTGGCAAAAGCAAAGTCACCACTGTAATCTCAGAAACACATAGACAGAATGGTAGCTGCAACGGATGAATCACTTGATCCAATAATTCACATTCTAGCAGTATTCTCTTCACCTGATTCTTGATTCTCTGTGATTGGCTTCATTTTTTTCTGCTAAAAACTGGCTTTATCCAAACAAAAGTCAAGGGAAAACCACTTGCTCTTTACTGTTGGGGGGTTCACTCATGAAAGGCTGTTTTCTTAATCCTTTAAAGTTACAAAATGCTACCCAGGTTTTTTTTTCTTTTTTTTTTTTTTTTCTCTTTCCAGATTTGTCATGAGTTTCCTTCCAGTGAATGGAAATAAGCACATGGGAAAGGGAGGCAGGAGTGTGTTGAGTCATCAGTTGGATTGATGGCTTCAATTAACAAAGATAGCCACTGTGAAACAAGGGTGTATTTATGGAGTAGTGTGGAGAAGAAATTTAGAGGAACCATCAAAGCAACAAAGGAACTCATTTCTAAAACTCAGAAACCCAACCAGACCAAATACAGGACTGACTTCTGCCCTTGCAAAAGTCAACAGGGAAGCAGAAGCCAGAATAAACAAATCTTATGTAACTTAGATATTAGCATGGGGGCATACAAGTATCTTGGAAATGTTTGGTAAAGCTTATAAAGATATATAGTACTTTTCTTTCAGCCTTTATCTGTACTTTATAGTTATATTTAGTCAGTAATTTCAAGTGGGTATGTAGCCTAATGGTAGAGAACATATCTATGTTAAAAGCCATGGCTATGATACTCAGCATTACACAATTAATAATAATAAAATTCTTGCTTTCTTGTGTATATACAATTTACATAGAGAATTCTAGAGAAGTATATAATCTTTGTTAATTGTTAAATATTGAATCTTGTTTCAAAGACCAAATTTACATATGAGAAATAGAAAATAGCATAAACAGAAAGTTATAGGTAACACTGCATAGGAAATGGGTTTTTAAATTTATTCATATAGCATAAAATAAGGAAGATAAAAGATTAAATAAAAAACCCAGTAAAGTTCAAGGCAAATTTAGTGATCAATGCTGTGCTTGATAACAAAGACCAGGTGTGATAGATAGACAGTTTTCAATTGATTTAAAAGCACAGGCTTTTTGGTAGCTTTGTCAGCTTACTTGCAATACCTGGTCTTCAGTACTGTAGGTATCTCTTCATCTACAGTGGTATTTGCTTTGTCTGGTTCTCCTGTGGTGCTCTAGAATAGAGATCTCAAATGCTTTGTGGTAGAGTCACCAAGGTGCCAGGATTCTGTAGCTGCTTCATAGGAGAAAAGTGGCTTTTGATACCCTAAAAAGGCAATGTTTACATTTCAGTTCTCATTTTGCCTTAACTTCAGTTTTCTCATCTTTACATGTATAGAATAGTAATAATGTCTTATAAATATGGAATTATGGCTTTCTGGGGATTAAATGTGAATGAGTTATCTGTATATATTTATATATCTTTAATAAACAGCATATATTTTTAATAAATGGTTATATGGTTATTACCACAAACTAGCTTAGCACTGAGATCTCTGAAGTCTGAGTAGATTACTAATCACCATATATGTGTGAATGTATGTATTTATAGTTCTCTGTCATTAGAATACTTGGAAATATTTGATTAATCCTGAAATGTAGTTTACGAGGTACATTCAAACTCATTTCCTCACTTGGTCTTTAACATTTTCAAACTTGATCACTATTATTTCTGCTCCACAAAGATAAATGAGCCAGAGAGTCTTACCATGGGGTTAAAACTCCAAGAAGTTGTGTAGCCCCCAAAGCATTTAGTGGGGAAGTTGCTGAACCAACTTTGAGCCAATGTCTTCTGACACAAAAGCTGTTCCCCATACCTAAAAGCTCTTTACAGGTGGTATTTTTAGCTTTGCTTTATTCACCCACAAGACACTGATAATTTCTAACACACCATGAATATCCAGTTGACTTGTTATGTAAATATGTACATCAAGTTTATGTTCACTATTCCTGGTGTTTTAAGTTAAGAAACAGAATTTTGTCATATAAAGCCTACTGCACTGCCTGTAGATTACAATTCCACTGGCATAGACTGACATTAAAATGTTGTTAACTCTGTTAACTCCAGAGGGAACAGCTAATGAAATGTCCCAAAAGTTGAGCACTTGCCAAGACACCGCATCACATAAGACAGCTCTCAATTAATCATGATGAGAGTATTTCCCCTATCTAAATGAAATCTGTAATTTGGGATGGAGATTAAAGATCCTCTGGGGAATGAAGGAAAGGTTGATGGGAAAATTCTAGAAACTTGAAAATAAAGACAGGTCTGCTAATATTCATGAAGTTGAATTGTTGATGCAAATAGATTGTTATCTCTTATTTTCTAATGTGTAGTCTTACAGCACTCCTAAATCAGTCTTCCACAGGTTCCCTTCAGCTGTAGAGGGAATTACTGAAAACTACACAAATAGTTCTGAAAGAGGAAGTTTACCTACTCAATATGTTTTTCTGAAAGCTCTGATTTCTTTTAACTTTTAGTCTAATGTTCATCATCATAGATTCGTAAATGTGAAAAGATGATGACCTAGATCAATATTTGTAAGTGAACTTTTATTGCATTAGTAAGTATACTGTCATATGTTTGTTTGAGTATTGGATGAGATTTGATTATACTTACTAAGAGAAAAATCAAATTTCTTCAGTAAACTTATTTTTTAAAGAAATGGCACACCTTTTAACTTCTACTCAATTTAATAGAAATCCCTACCTCTTAGGGAACACAAATTCTATTGCTGTTGTATACAATAAAGAGAAAATTAATGTGCTTTTTGTGGATGCTTAGTTCACTTCATTAAGCATTACAAATAGGTACTTGAACTGAGTGGAAATTCAACCTTCCTGTTTCAGCCTCAAACATCTGCTCAGATCAGGTACCAGACTTCAGGAAATACTTGTGGGTATATTTGTTAAACAATAACAGAACTAGTCTCCAAATAGATTGCTGATTATTGAATTTTTTTCTACTTCTTTTTTTAGGCTAGCCCTGCTCCTATAATTGTCAACACAGATACTTTGGACACTATTCCTTATGTAAGTACCATTTTTTATTAAGATTTTATTTTAAAAGTCTGGTAGTACTCAATTAGCTGAATTTTATAGCCACTGTGTAATTAGTTCTATCCAATCCAGATAATGTGATAGAATGATATACATAATTAGTTTTGTGAATTTTGTTTTGATAGTTCCTGAAACTTGGCTTAGTCATACAAATGTTAATTTGTAAGCAAAGTGGCCAGTCATGAGGAAAGAAAGCACAGACAAATCTGTTAAAATATTTTTTGTATGCTAGGTACTTTGCCAGAAAGTAATTAAAATGCTAGTAACAAACATGACAAACATCATTATGATTCTGGATAAACAAACATTCAGATCAATTTCTAATGCATAGCCTTGGACCTAGCTGATCAATAAATATTTAGATTAATTTAGGATCCTGAAAAAAAAACTGAAGGGAAAATTCTATACATTGAGTTTCCATGTAATAAAATATGCAGATTTGTAAAATGTGGAGTATGAGATGCTAAGAATAACTGTGAGCATAAAATAACAGGATGAGGTAGACTAATAGCCTAGAATACTGGAGCATAACCGCTATGGTGGCCAAAGATTTTAAGGACAGATTATGGATCTGGTGACTGCAATAAGCTCAGGATAGAAGGATGACTTATGTGATTTTGGATTTCTCTTAGGACTTTGAGCTGGTTGATGGGTGGGTGATGATGACCAGGAACCAAAAGATAAGCACACGTCTCCACAGACAGAAGGTATGGAGTAAGGAAGAAGGGCCAGTGGAATAAAAGACAAGAACAGATGTCTGGCCTTTAAGTGGATAAAGCAGTACTTAGAATTGACACAATGAAGGGATTTGCTGCTCACCAGATGTTCTTAGACTTAGAATCCAACCCCTGTGCCTGGAGGCACCAAGCAAAGCCAGACAGAAAGGAAGCAAGGAACTGGGGGTGGGGGAGTGGATATAAAGCACATGGCCCTCTGGAGAGGACAGCAACTACTTGCGGCCATTTTGCCAAACCGTGTCATTTTGCAAGTGATGTTGGAAACGTACATGTTTATGTAAGTATTTTCAAATTCTAATGACAACTATTAATACTTTACAAAGTTTGAACAGCAAATTTCAAATAGAATAAGCTGCCTTTTGGGAAATAATAACCTCACATAGCTAGAGGTCCCAAACATGCTCTGCAAGCCAGGAGTTAGACACAAGGGAATACCACTAGAACTGGGGTACAATGCTGGGACTTGATTACAGAACACCTGACTAAACTGGGACACAGGGTCAGGACAGAAATAACTGCATTCTTGGCTTAATGCTGAATCACCTGAAGTTTTGAACTAGCATCTCTTAAATCTTCCTGAACAAGAATAGTTAAGGGCCAGAGAGAAAATATGGTTAAGCTCTCTGATATGAATCAAATAGTCTTGGAAAGTGAAGGGCTCTGTAGATCTACAGATTAATATATTAAAGTCACTTAGTGCCTGTTATATTTTTATTCATTCCTTCTACCTTCTCATTGAATGCCTAACATTGGTTTAAGTAGTTAAAAATGCATATAATTTAGTTTTTCTAATAAGCAAAGCATAAATTTATTTTTTTTTATACTTTAAAAATTGGAAAGTTGGGTCTTAAGGATGTTGGTTAACTCATTGAAGTATTCTGTGTAATAAATAGAGCAATAAAGACTATAATTTCAGGGATCATTTTTATAGTTTGTTAACAATAGAGCAATAATAAACCTAAATACACTTAGTATTGTCTAAAGACTTTTCAGCCCCAAATGATGTTCCTTATGTGCCTTCCCTCCTTCCCTCTCTTATAGTCAGCCTCTCAACTTCCAAACAAAGCTTGCTTAGATACCCCATTACTTCTATAGAGAGCTTGCCACAGAAGCTCCAACTTTCCTCATCATAGGGACCCATATATTAAAGAATTCAATAGTCTAAACAAATCTATTTGGTATAAAATATTTGACAAAGCACAAAAGTAGTATGTCCAAGCCATGCTTTCTCTTGCCAGAATAAAACATTTACCAAAGGCAGGAGGGGGAGGAGAGGGTTTATTTGCCTTACACAATGATGGTCACAATCTATCATTGACAGAATTGAGGGCAGGAAGGAAGTCAAATCAGGAACCTGAATCAAAAACCATGAAGAAATGCTGTTTCCTGGTGGGCTTTCATTGGCTCCCCAGTTCATGCTCAGCTAAATTTCTTAAACAGTTCAGGTCTGTCTGCTTCAGCTTGTCCCTTCTACGTCAATCATCAGTCAAGACAATCCTCCACAGACCTGGCTACAGGTCAGTCTGATCTGGGCATCCCCTCTATTGAGACTCCCTCAGATGACTCTAGGCTGTTTCAAGTTGATAGCTGACATTAACACAGAGACTGCTTTGTGGAGTTAGACATGGATCACAGAGGCTTGCTTTGGCAAACAGGATGCTCTTTATAGTGAATCAACAATATTTCAAAGCTTTCTATTGGGGTTCTCATGGTTTCACTGTGAGAGGCTGGCATGTGAAAATAGCTTATCGATAGGCTCTAAATAAAGATCTTATGCAGATATGCTCAACTCTTGTCCCAATCAATTAGCTAGTGAAAGCAGCCACATATAATGAATTAGCCCAGTTGCTCTGATTCTGCTAAATGCCAGCTTGGTATCTAATTTTGATTATTCCCAAAGCTTCTCTTTTCTGTTTAATCACATTTTCTGCACTAAGCACAAACCACTTTCAAATTTCTTAAGTGTAAGGTTTATGGTGAAGTATATTGAACAGCTCAGAATGATGAATACAGACCAATTTCCAGGGTGCATGTTCCTAAGCAACCCATTTAATCTTTTTGGAGATGTGTGAATCCATAAGACATAAATTAAAATATATACCTCAGGGAATGTTAAGGAAATTAAATTAAGTTTTATATATGAAAATGAAATAATGGTTGTTTAGTTTCTAATTGGTAACAATGTATGTGCTTTTTTGTTGTTAAAAATGCAGATTTATAGAGTAACACTTGGCTAAATTCTGGGAGAATTTTATCAATATGAATATCTTCTTCCAGACAAAATGAACATGAAAGCAATGTCTATTGAAAATGGTAGATTTAGTGTGCAGCCGTATCTTTAGTTCTTGATACAGGCTCAACCTCCCCTTTTTTCCTGACTCACACAGTGGGTAACCTTGAACAAATCACTGTTCCTCTTACAGTCTACATTCTATTTTCTCATTCCCCAGTGTTCTATACTTTGTTTTCCTCTTTCTTGTCCATGTTCTACTTGTTCACATAATTTCAGCTCTATTTAATGAAAAAATGACTTCAGAGTTCCCCAGGGTATTTTAGTCATGTTGCATAAGAACATTTCCTTCTTAAAAATATTACCTGAATGACAAGTTTCAGCTTGTATTTTGAAGTTCTCCTCAAAAATAATTTCTATATATGTACATGTACTAATTTTGCTGATGAGTAAATTTGATTTTGGGATATAAATGGTTCTAATCGAAATGGTGCATTGGCATACATGCAAAGGGTAATCAAACTAAAGGAATTGTCTAGAATCAAAGGCAAATTTTATTTAAGTGTCTAATAAAGGTATAAAAGATACTTAGAAACAATCTGAGTTTTCAAGAAGCCTTGGGATATTAGAGTCCTACTATTAATGAGGTTTTCATGTATGTGTGCCTAAAATGCCCAGTCACATATTGTCATCATACTGTCACGACATATAAAGGTTAGATATGATTTTGGATGCTTTATAGCCCAGTCTTACATGCAAAATATGAATCTCCCTATAAAATTAAAATTATTCAGAGAGATACAATGGGACAGAGGAATCTCAGGGAGAAGAGAGAGAGAGAGAGAGAGAGAGAGAGAGAGAGAGAGAGAGAGAGGAGAGAGGAGAGAGAGAAATCTTTTTATTATTTCAAAAATCTAATTACTACATTTTACTGAATTTTCTTATGCTCTTTTGTTACATATTTTTTTATGCTATAAAGCAAAGGTATTCTATTCTTGGAAGTTCAGAGTGTGTGGAATCTCTCTGTAACCGGCATGGCATGTACCCTTTATGTATTTATTTATGTATTTATTTATGTATGTATGTATTTATTTATTTATTTTTATTTTACACGTCAATCCCAGTTCCCTCTCCCTCCCTCCCTCTTACCCTCTCTCCCCCCTCATATGCACCCTGACCACCCTCCCCTCCCATCCCCCTCACTCCACATGTAGGGCTATGCTATCCAGGTCATGTAAATCTGACAAGTCATTTGAAGTAGGGACTAGAACTTCTCTCCTGTCTCTAGGTTAAGGGAGTATCCCTCCATGGGGGATGTGTCCACAAGGTCCTTTTGTGCACCAGGAATACATCCTGGTTCCACTGTCTGAGGTCCCTTAGACTGCTCAGTCCTTCTAGCTGAGACCCATGTTCAGGGAGCCTGAGTCAGTCCCATGCTGGATTCCCTGCTATCAGTCTTGGGGGCCGTTAGCTCCTCCTTGTTCAGGTCAGCTGTCTCTATGTGTTTCTTCAACCTGGTCTTGTCCTCTCCCTCTGCATCTGGATTCTAGTTCGACTCCATGTTTAGTTATGGGTGTTTGCTTCTGTTTCCATGATGGTGGATAAGTTAGTCGTTGATCTCATTATCAGGGAAGGGCATTTATGGTAGCCTTTCCACTGTTGCTCAAATTGTTAGTTGGAGTCAGTCTTGTAGGTCTCTAGACATTTCTTTAGGTTCAGTTTTCTCTTCAAACCTATAATGGCTCCCTGTTTTATGTTCTCTCTCTCTTTCTCTCTCTATCTCTATCTCTTTCTCTGTCTCTGTCTGTCTTCTGTCTTTTATTCCTACCCTAATTCAATCTTCCTAATCACACATGCTTTCCTCTACTTCCCTTCTCTTTCTCCTAGTCCCCTCTCCATTCCTGCTCCCCACCACTCCCCATGTGCCCTCACCTTCCTGCTCTTGATTTCAGGCACATGTATCATTTACACCTTGCTAACAGACACGTCCCAGTCCCAAACCCATT